TCCACTCTTAAAAATCTATAAATATTAAAGTCAGAAATTAAACTGTCCTTTTTTTTAACCTTGGAGGTTCCAGTGTCCACATTGTTTTATTTTGTGTCCTAGAGGGACAGACCCCAAGGGCAGTGACCCCAAGGGCAGTGACCCCAAGGGGGTGACACGAGGTCACACTGTGCTGCTCTGACAGGGTCTCCTGGGGGTGTGTGAGCCCCTTATCTCAGGGACCCTGCTGTTTCCTGCCTTGGCTCCCTGAGGTGCAGGAAGGCTCTTCACCTCTGGAGGGATCAGCAAACAAGCTGGATTCTCCATGACATTCCTTAGATGGATTTCCCAGCTCCTCAGGAACGGATGAGGCTGTGACCCTGGGACAGGATGGTGGCAGCTGTGACCTCCTGGGAGCTGGGTGTGCCAGGCCATTCTGGAGGCAGTGAGATTCCTGCAGTGGGCTGTTTTTAAATGCTGAGGTGGTTCCAGCTTCCAAGCCAATGGTGGAAGGAGTGGAGGTGCCCATGGCACTGGGTGTGCAGCGGGGAGGGTCTGCAGAGGACCCCTGGGTGGGAAATGGATTTGTGGGAAATGGATTTGTAGGAAATCCCCAAAGATTTCCTGCAGAAGGCTCACACAGTGTGCATCTGTGTGCAGATCTTGAGATAAGAAATGCTGACTTAGAAATGCCATGGGATAGGACAGACATTGCTGAGACAGAAATGGAGCTAGAAGCAAGTTCCAAAGGATGGCCTTGCAAAAAAACCCCATATATATATATGACATATATCATATAGATATACATGTATGGAGAAGAAATCCTGGGCAAAGAGGATTTTTCATAAAATATGACACTGACAGGAGGGAGCTCACTGCCCAGGGCACAGGGACCATGGCAGGGGGCAGGACAGCCCCCTCAGCACATCCTGAGGGAGCCAATAATCCAGGGGTTGTTTCCTGACAGTGGGAGTGAGGCAGTGCTGCTGGAAACCTTTCTGACCACAGGCAAGGGAAAGAAACCACAAATATTTCAGCAGGTGACACCCTCATCCTGCATGGCTTGCATGGGCATGGAAGAGCAGAGACAAAGGAAATTCCAAGGCCCCTGACTTGTTGTTTTGGGAGGGTGCAGCATCCTCTGAGAGATGGCAGTTGTGTCACAGATCCCTCCAGTAACACCAGAATTTCCCTGAGCTTTATCTTTGTGCAGAGAGAATGCCTCTGCAGCAGGATGGGCAAGGAGAGCAGAGCCCCAGGGCTCCTTGTCCTCTCCCAGGGCTATTCCTGCCTCTTGTTTTGCTCCAAGCTCAGCTTAATCCATCCTCATTAAAATCAGTGGCGAGAGTGTCCTTTTGCTGTTGGGTTTGATTTTACATCCCACACCACAATGAGTGATTTTCCTTTTTCCTTGCAGACCTCTCTGATCTTTTGCCCCTCTCCTTTCAGCTTCCTCGGTCTCACAGCTTTTCTTGGAGGGTTTTTTGTAAACTTCTCTCCGTTTCCTGAAATGCATCTTTCCCTGTATCGATTCCACCTGAGATCTGAAGGAAGGCAGAGCAGGAGGCTCAGCTGACTCCCATGCACACTCACAGCTCATCAAAGCAAACACAGAGCCTTGTGAGAGCTGCTGGGGCAGCACAGCCCCTGGGCTTAGCAGCTGGCCTCATGGGAGGGAGGAATTAATCTCTTTAGGCAGCATTTTTGAATTTATATCTCCATCCACGCTCCTGGTTACATGGAGTTATCACTCTTGCTAGAGCATCTTTCTTTTCAATCATCTCCTGAACATGCTGTAATGGCACTTCTGGGAGTGTGGGCTGAGCTGGGGGAAGGGGAGTGCTTCTGAGAGCTGGTTTGGGGTTTTTTATAAATTCCTCTTGCAGAGTCACTGCTTAAAATGATTTGGAAGAAAAAGAGAGATGGTGGGGTGTGGGAACCCAGGACATCCCTCTGGCTGGGGGCTCAGAGACCTTGGCACAGAGTCAAAAACACCTGTGCCTTTGATTTTAATCCATGGAGAAAATTACTCAGCTTATATGAAGATTTACAAGCCATGATAGTTTAATTAGAATAACAGTTAGTTTGTCACAGGGTGGAAAAGTAGAATTTTGGGGTTTTTAGAGCAGGGGTTCAGAAGCCAAGATGGAGGGATTTGGGTGTGCCTTGTCCTTCTTCTTCTTGTCCTCCATCTTCTGGGTGATGGTGACACTTTTGCACTGGTTTAGAGTAGAGACAGACTGTCTAACATAGGTGATAGGTATTGGAAAATTATTGTAAATAAAGTACAGGTAGTTCTTAGTATAAAAAGCCAACACCACCCCAAGGGCAGGGACTGTGCCACAACCTGAGCTGCTGGACAGATCTCAGCAGGTCACAGAAAGAATGGAACAGATAAGAGAAAACAAACAACCTGGAAAAGCAGAACCGAGGAATCTCGACTTTTTCTTTGGTCACAGGGCTGGGGAAAAGAGACTTTGTGACACCTCGGGCTCATCTTCACCACAAAACCCCCAAGAATGGGAGATGAAGAAGAAGAAGAAATGAGTTGCTGGTGGCAGCAGTGGCCCAGGGAGCAGCACACAGCCCTCTGGGGCTGGGAGTGAGGTTGCACCAGGCCAGGATGCTGGCTGTGCCTCAGTTTCTCTGTCCTGCTTGTCTGGTAGCTCCATGGTGCAGGAGGCTCCGTGTTCCCCCAGGGCTGCCAGCCCTGTCACACGCCTGTCACCACCGTGGCTGGCTCCTGCCTGGGCACAGAATTCTGGCTCTGTTTCTGGGGAGAAGTCAGAGATGCCACAAGCCCCCTCGGACAGTTCATTTTCCCTCTCTGCCCTGCTGCTCCTCCCTGTGACCTTGCTGCATTTCTGGGAGCAGATCTGGCCCTTCCTTTCCCTTTTCCACAGCACCCAAGGCTGATGGCAGAGCTGTGGGGCTCTTTCAGAAAGAGCAGCGTTTTTTTAAAAAACAATTTCCCCGGCAATGACCCCTTCAGTGGCACCTCCTTAAAACCAGCACTTGCCACCAGGACAGATTTCCTTTCCCACCACCGCCTCAGGCTGGCGTCTCCAAATCCCAGCCAGACCCTGGACATTTCTCCAGAAGAAAATCAAGCTGCAACAAAGCAGGGGAAAGCTAACAGAGAGCAGATTTCTCCTTTTGCAGTTTGCTTTAAGGTGTTTGTGATCACATCCATTGGCAGCTCATCCCAAGCCAGGAAAGCAGGAAGGTGCTCTTACACCACATTATTGTCAGTGGTGATTCCCTTTGTCTTCACATCTTCAGGATGCATGAGAAACCTTTCATACTCCTCATCTTGCTTATTCCTCAGCCTGAACATCCCAAATTCTTGGAGTTTCCCCCAGACAGAAGCCCTCAGCAAAGGTTTGACTTCTCTGGGAGCACATCTTTGCTCAGCCCCTGCGTAAGGGGGCTGCAATTGCTTTAGGAAGGTCCATTCCTTGCTCTCTCATTTGTAACATAACAGCCTGGGGTTTGGTTATTATTGCTGTTTTTAGCTGCTGTTGGCTTTCCATTGTTGCTTTTTTGATAGATGGGTTCAATTTTGCTGGCAGATTGCTCAGGTTTGCAAAGCAGATGCTGCTGCTGCTGCTGCAGGATGGTGGCAGCGAGGCGGGCAGGGAGCGTTCACCCCACACACGGGGTCAGAGCCAAGGGGGCAGCGTGTGGGGGGCTGCAGCTGCCAGGAGAGCTGCTGGTGGCAGGGGGGTGACCCTCAGAGGGGCTCCAGCCACCCCCCAGTCCCCCTGGGAAGGATGGGACCGTGGGAGGAGCAGCTGTGGAGAGGGAAACGGCTGAGGATGGATTTGTGTGTCACCATGTGATGGGATGGGAATTTGTAGATGCTCTTGAGAAGGCTGAGCTAGAACAGAGGCTGGGCAGAGTTACAGAATAAAGCAGGGGTTTGTTAAAAGGGTCTCCTCAGTGGAGACCCTCCTCACCTTGGGCAGCACAAGATGAACCAAAATGGCCCCAAAATGCACGGCCGGGCACGGGGTCTCTGCCTTGGATCAGTTCTGCTCCATTTGCATCTTGCAGTTCATTGTCCCATTCCAGCTTTAGCCCATCCAGTCCCATCCTTGTTTTTCTCTCTCCAGCCCACGGTGTTTGTGCTCTTGGGCTGAGATTTGGATCATTTGTCCTTGGTCCCCAGCTGGAGCAGGAATTGTTTATTTCCCTATTCTGTGCACAGAGCTCAGCATCCCCTAATGTGAAGCTCAAAATTACACACTAAAGCAGCACAGAATATGAAAAATATAAAAGCCAAAACCTGAGGCGTCACTGGGTCTGGGTGTGGTGTAGCAGTGATGTGTGTGAGGGATGGGATGTGGTGTGGCATGCAAGAGGGATGAGGAGGACAAGGAGAGGAGCTGGGAGTCACCTGCTCCTGTGGCTCCTACACCTCACTTTGGGTAAGCAATCTCCACATTGCATTCCACTTTAGCACAAGCACAGCAAGTGAGATAAGAATTGTGTTTTCCTTCTTCCTTTCCTTTCCTTTCCTTTCCTTTCCTTTCCTTTCCTTTCCTTTCCTTTCCTTTCCTTTCCTTTCCTTTCCTTTCCTTTCCTTTCCTTTCCTTTCCTTTCCTTTCCTTTCCTTTCCTTTCCTTTCCTTTCCTTTCCTTTCCTTTCCTTTCCTTTCCTTTCCTTTCCTTTCCTTTCCTTTCCTTTCCTTTCCTTTCCTTTCCTTTCCTTTTCCTTTCCTTTCCTTTCCTTTCCTTTCCTTTCCTTTCCTTTCCTTTCCCTTCCCTTCCCTTCCCTTCCCTTCCCTTCCCTTCCCTTCCCTTCCCTTCCCTTCCCTTCCCTTCCCTTCCCTTCCTTTTCCCATTCCCTTTCCCCTTCCCTCCCCTCCTTTTTCCTTTCTCCTTTCTCCTTTCCTTCCTCCAAGAGATAAGAATTGTGTTTCCCTTCTTCTCCACTCGTCTCACAGCTCCTCTCTGTTCAGAGGGCACGTGAGCACCACACATTTTGGCCCTGACGTGTCCCTCGTTCCCCCTCTGCAGGGAGCTGATGCCCAGGACACTGGAGGGGCAGATCACCATGGAGAAGACCCCCAGCTACTTTGTCACCAAGGAGGCCCCAGCCCGCATCTCCTCCATGAGCAAGGGCACCAAGCTGATCGTGGTGGTGCGGGGACCCCCGTGACCAGAGCCATCTCGGACTACACCCAGACCCTCTCCAAGAAGCCTGACATCCCCACCTTTGAGAGCCTGACCTTCAAAAACAGGACTACAGGCCTCATAGACACCTCGTGGAGCGCCATCCAGATTGGCATCTACGCCAAGCACCTGGAGAACTGGCTGCTGCACTTCCCCATCGGGCAGATCCTCTTTGTCAGCGGGGAGAGGCTGATCAGGGACCCCGCAGGGGAGCTGGGCAGGGTCCAGGACTTTCTGGGCCTCAAGAGGATCATCACGGACAAACACTTCTACTTCAACAAAACCAAGGGCTTCCCGTGCCTGAAGAAGGCGGAGGGCAGCAGCAAACCCCACTGCCTGGGCAAGACAAAAGGCAGGACCCACCCTGACATCGACCAGGAGGTGGTGCAGAGGCTGAGGGACTTCTACAGGCCCTTCAACATGAAGTTCTACCAGATGACAGGGCAGGACTTCGGCTGGGACTGAGGCTGAAAGAAATAATTTAAGAAAAGGAAAATATAATATAATATATATCTATTTTTTTTACGTATCAGTAGAGAGGCGGGGGGGAGGAAAATACGGGGAAAAATAATAATAATAGCTGTGCTGAAACACACTTTGGTTTTTTTCTTTTTTTTTTTTTTTTTTTTACACTGCTTTGTATCCTTTCTTCTCTCAGAGAAGAGGTGCTGTGTACACCCAGAAAAGGAAAGGCTGTGGAGAAACAGCCTGGTCCTACTGACATGAGCAGCTTCCCTCAATGGGCCCAGGGTTTAGCACAGCCTCTGTAAAAAAACACAGGTGCAAAGTTTCCAGCAGTGACAGGGGTGCTTGGGGTAGCTCAGAGTCTTCCTGAAGGTTCAGCCAGGTTTTGGCTTGCAAGGGCCATTTTGGCCAGACCTCACCACTTTTGACAATAAAACAAAGGTGGCTTAATACCTAATTTGGCTTTCCAAATGTTACTTTAGGGGATTTTTTTATTGCATGAAACATTTGGTGAATTTCGCTTCCACTTATCCAATTTTTTTTGTTTTACTTTTACCCCCCTTAAATCAAGCTCTTTTCATCAGCCAAGCTTATTTTTCCTCTTAAGGAAGCCAAAACCAATAATCCTTTGTTTTGTTTTGAGAGAAAATAATTTTGGTAGCCAAAAGTGAAAGAACACAAATGATTCTTTTGACTCTCTAATGAAAATTGCCAGGTAGTCAAAGGCCTCATTCACAGGAGCTGGCTCTAACCCAGGGCTCCCTATTGCATCCCTTTTGCTACTCTGACAGCAAAATGAGTTTCTAAGGGTTTTTTTTTTCCCTAAGGGGGGGCCCATCTGAAGGGATTTTGGGGATGGGAAGGAGGTTCCACACTGAGATGATGCTCATGGCACACCCTGAAGGTGTTGGGGGCACCAACCATCCCACCAGGCACGTGCAGGAGACTTCTTGGTGTCCAGTGACATGGGTTAAGCCATAATGAGGAATGTTTTAAGTTGGGCCAGTCTTAAGTAGACTGGAGGAAGGGTTGGTTGGGAAAAGGTGAGCAATAATCATGTAAATAGACTGGAGGAAGGGTTGGTTGGGAAAAGGTGAGCAATAATCATGTCCAGAAAGAGGAATTAGAAAACAATTGTTCTTTCCTGAAGGAGAACTGAGGGGAGACCTTGAAGGTTGTGAAGGGCGCCAGGCAAAGCCTTTACCACCTTTTTTTAGCTGGTGGAAATGATTCAGTGACAGAAATCTGTTAATGAAGCAGAGTCTTTTATTACCATGGGCTCATTTATCTGCTGGCTCTTGATCTTCAGCATTTCTGAGCTCTGGGAGTACCCAGTTACACCTTGGTGCATCAAACACATGGAAGGGCTCCCTGTCCTGAGCCCAGCTCTGAAGGGGTAAAACCTGAGGGGGTAAAACAAACTGTGTGGGAATTCCTGTGGGAATTCCTAACCAGGAATGTGGTTAGGAAGGAGCCTGGGGATGAAGTTCGCTGGCTGCCTGCACACCAGAAAAAAATATTAACAAAATCCCAGCAGAGCAATTTCAGAGTCCAGAGAGAATTGGATCAGAAGTTACGATTTCACCTGAGAGGGAGGCAGTTCCACCTTGGAAAGTCAGGAAAAGGGTTTGGGGACCCTGTCAGCCTCATGGCACTGAGTTCCTCTGCATGTGCTGAGCCACAGCTGCTCCTGGCTGCCCTGAGGCACCTTCCTGCTCAGCCCTACGCATCTGTTCCCAAAAATGTGAGTCCTAGAGCCTTCTCATGCCCTGAAGACACAAACCCAGAGGGTTTTGCCTGCCAGGCCCCTTTCCCAAGGGGATGAAAACAGCTTCATTGAGCTCCTGAGGCCCCAGGAGCTTCTCCCACAGCAGGGCTGAGCCTGAGCCCGGGCTCCCATGCCCCAGCTGGTACAAAAGTGGTGCTGGGCTGGTGGCACCAAAGCCAGGCTGTGCTCAGCCCTCTGCCCTGGTGTGGCACACTCAGTGCCATCTGCACCCCCTCCACTGCTGCTTTCACCTCTTCCCCCATTTATGTCCCTTTTTAAGGCCTTTTTTTGGCAATGTGCCATGCCACATCTGCACAAACACAACACCTTACAGCAGAAGGGAGGATGAGGCACCACACAGACCCCCAACATCCCTTCTCTTGCCTGCCTCCCTTCAGCCCCTCAAAATTCAGGCAAGGCATGACCTGAGAAGATCAGAGATGGTCACAGAGATGGGACCATGGTCCCTCCCTGCATCAGAAGCTGGGAGAACCTTGGGCTCTTGGTAATGGTGTCACATTATTCCTTCCCACAGGAGGTGAGGGGAGCAATCTGCCCGTGCTGGTCAGAATGGGCATGAGCTGTAGGCAAAAGGATGGTGGGGAATTATTGGGATAAATATTCCAAGAGCAAGGTTGTGGGGCAGGAATAGGGGATGGACAGCCCCCCATGCTGTGCTCTTTATTCACATGGAAAAACCAAGGCGGTAGCAAGGATGAGGCATCAGTCACTCACAGGCATAACCAAATAGTGCCAGAACCAGCGAGGCACAAAATCTGAGGTCTTCCAGCTGAAAAGAAGATTTTAGCCAAAGAAATGCCATTTCTTTGGTATTTCAACGAGAATGAAGGCTGGGATATTACAGACATGCCTTTGACAAGTTATTTTGGTTAAAGCCCAGCTGGGATCTCAGCCCCACTCACTCCACAGGTGAGACAGGGGGGAGAATTGGAAAAGTAAATCTAAGGAAACCTGTGGGTTGAGATAAAGACAATTTAATAGGTAAAGCAAATGCTACACACACCAGCAAAGCAAACCAAGAAATTAATTCCAGGCTTCCCATGGGTGCTCAGATGCTCATGCCCAGGACAGCAGAGCTCCCTCTCATTTGGAATGGTGACTTGAGAAGACAAACACCATCACTCCAAACATTTCCTGCTCCTTTTTTTCCCCCACTTTTATATGCTGACCATGATGTCATATGGTCTGGAATATGTCTTGCAGCCATCAGGGTCAGCTGTCCTGGCTGTGTCCCCTCCCAGCTCCTTGTGCATCCCCATTTTCCTCACTGGAGGAGCAGGAGGAGCCTTGATGCTCTGTAAGAGCTGCTCAGCCCCAGTGAAAACAGCCCTGGGTTATCAGTGCTGTTCCCAGCACAAACCCAAACCGCAGTCCTGTGAACAAAATGAACCCTACCCCAGCCAAAACCAGCAGATAAATACGAACATCACTTAGGAGTGTGATGCTTTAAAAAATCAATATAGTGATATTGCTGTTTTCTCCCACACAGTCACATTTGCACCGCCATAAAGCAGCTTTATAGGGCCACAGCCTGGTCTCCCCATATTGCACAAGCTGCAGCACTACCAAGCATTTTTTACAGCTGAATATCTGCACCTGCCACCAAATCCCTGCCATTAAATCAGCAGAGCCTTGATCTGTACACAAGCCCATCAAATGTGCCTTTAAAAACTCTTCCCAGCACATCAAGCTCAGCCACTTAGGAATACTCTCCCCTAAATGCTTCAGTGTTTTGCTTCCCCTCATTTCCAGGGGTTTGAGTACCTTGTTGCACACCTTGTAAAGCTATTTAGGGATCTGGGGCTGTGATTGATTGGTTTTGATCTGGGCCGTAAGTAGTTTGGAAAATCCCTCCACATATGAACAATGGCTTTTAAAAAGAGGTCATGCAACCAAATTGCTTTGAACTCTAATAGCATTTAAGCCTCTAAACTCTTTAGGCTTATTTGAAAATCCAGCCATGAAGTTTAGATTATTTTAACCTAAGAAGAATTGGGAGGTAAACTATTGAAAACCACATCCCTCCTGGGCCTGCAGTGCTGAGCATGTATGTTGGAGGGGAAATATCTCTCTCTTTTCCTCCTCCTCCGTTGTTGTTGTTGAGAGAGATATCTCTCTCTTTTCCTCCTCCTCCGTTGTTGTTGTTGAGAGAGATTTAAGTTATTAAAATGCTTCTGGTCTCAATAATCAAATCTGCCATTAGGCATTGATGAAACTCAGGCTTATATGTGATGCAACATTTGGATTTTAGAACAAAATCCAAATTTTAGATTTGTTTTGAGGAAAAAAAAAAACCAACCCACACCAACCTTTCTATCGGCATCAAGTGCCAAATGGATCATGAATTTTACACAGTGAGGGTGGTGAGGCCTGGGTTGCCCAGGAGTGGATTTCCCATCCCTGGAAGTGTCTGAGGCCAGACTGGACTGGCAGCATCCTGGGGTGGTGGAAGGTGTCCCTGGAATGAGATCAGCTTTGTGGAGGATTCCAGTGCAAACCATCCCCTGGTTCCATGATCTTTGAGGAGACAGACACAGCCACAAATGGCACCACAGCTCTCCTGCACTGAGGCCACAGGAGTGTGGGCTTGGCTGTGCTGAGCACCAGGATTGCCACAAAGTCCTCAAAAATAATTTTTTGCCCCCATTGCTGTTGACGTGCTTTGGAGCCCAGTTCATTGAAGGTGAGATCTCCCTTTGACCCATCACCAACAGCTTTCAGCCAGACCTGGAGGGTGGGGAAGCCCTTTGCTCTCTGTTTCAACTGCAAAAATTCAGAGAAATGGGGTTTTCTTTAGCAGTGCGGTTTGGCATGGCAATGCCAGGCGTGTCTGCTGCTGTGAAACCCATCCCTGCCATTCCTGCCTGGGGCTGCTGTGCCCGTGGGGTCCTTGGTGCTGATTTTGTGGCACTGGGAATTTTATCCCAAGCTGCTGTGGAAGCCACTCCATGATCCACCCAGTTAAAATGAGTTTATTCACCATGGGGGTCAGTGTGTGACACTCCTCTGCCTGATGTCAGGGTGCCCTTTGGGTGCAGCACTAAGGAGTCAAATTTCCAGCAATAATTTGGCTTTTCCTACCCTGCACAGGGTGATTCTGGCCTGCACTGATTCCCAGTTCCCCCTTCACACTTCAAAGCACCAAGTCTCCAGGTGAAGGGGAAACATTGCCCATTTTCCCAACCATTTAAGCACTCCTTGGTTGTATACA